GGTATTGACCGATATCGAACAGAGTGCAAAACTTGCACCGTTGTTCAATGTTGAAGCAACATAGGGTGGTGATGAAGATATTTTCCCACGAAAGTGATAGTTATTCCTTGAAATGCTATATCCTTGGCACATCCAAGGGTGAGGTGCGGTGCAAGGACATGGCGATTCGCTTGAAAGCTATGCCTCGTTCCGACATATGGTGCAAAGGTGACGCATTAGTGCCTGACAATGTAGCGGTGCGTTCTGAGAATAATATGATAGGTGTTCCGCTTTGCTTTTGAAATGTGGATTTTTTCAACCGCTTGTGCACTGTGGATTTATATCGCACGAGGCTATTCACAACTTACCAGGACCTATTTTCAGCATTTTTTTTTCTCATAAGCCGTCTTGATTCACAATTGAATTTAAGTTGGTCAACATTTTTTTTTTTTAAATAACTGTCAATGTATGTATGATGCAAAGAAAATTTATGGCAATTTGCATCTGAAGTAACGATAAGGTAATACAGTTCATATTGTATGTATGTATGTATGTATGTAAGGTAGCCACCATCCCTTCAAAGATCTTGTCTTGTATGCAGCTCCACTTAATAGCAAGATCAATTTGAGCTACCGATCTGAATTCACAATATCGCTGTATGAAGGGCCAAAAACGGAGGTGCGGACCCGTAAGCAAAGACATTTACACGAAATCCACGGGAATTTAAGAATCTCCTTCCAAAACAAATCGAATAACACAATTCGCAATACTTATTAAGCTTCCTACAGGATGGTTTGTAAAGAAGGGCGCGTCAATCTCACTGAAACTGTTGAAGTAGAATTAACACCACCACAATCGAATCGGTAGGATAAAGAAAATGATATTGTTTATTCCCTCCTAGACTCCGGTTGTCATACCACTCCATCGTCCAGTCCCAGTTCAAATGATACCCTGATGCTCCTTCCCAACCCAGTATTTATTTATAAAATGAAAATATATGTAATGGAGAAATGAAATATATCAAAACATTAAATATGAAATAATGAATATAAATTTATATAGATAAAATAGTTGATATTCTGCAATGAACATAATAATTATTTTACATACACTGTAACTGGAAAGTACCCATTAATGGGTGAAAAATTGCCAATTTCGCGGTAAAGTAGGTAAACTCATAAAATGGGTAAAACGTCATACGTCAAATCATGGGGTACTTTTTACCCATTTCCAGAACGCATTGTTTTCCGTAACTGGGTAAAAAAGGACCCAATTTTTAAAATGTATTTATGGGACTCAAATTTGTGGAATGAAACAAATATGCTTTTAAAAACGTTATAAGCTGAGAAATCATTCAAATCATATAGCATTTCTTACCTTGAAGCTTTTTGAAGCTATCACCATTCTTTAAACTATTTATATATATCACTTTTTGTAGTTTTCGGAACAAATGCACTCGAAAATGTAAACCAAGTATGTCAGCAACGTTATGGTGCAACAAAGATATTTTTCACCCAATAATGGGTAAATATGTACCCATTTTTGATCCCTGAACAGGTTTCGGAAATGGGCGAAAAAGTATCCACTATTTGAAATTTTCATTTACGCATTTTTTGACAGGTCCATACACTACCACAAAATGGGTACTTTTTCACCCATTAATGGGTACTCGCCATTTACAGTGTATAATAAGATGCAGCTCTAGGTTTCCTCAGCTCACAATATCAAGTGGATGTGGCACTGAAATTTCAAGGTTATGTTAAGCAAATATATATTTTTATCTCTAATTACTAATAATGTAAGGATGTAAATGTAAAGTGTAAAGTGTGATGTATAACTAACATGACTAACAATAAAATGGGATTACGAGAAAAATAAAGGAAAGATCTCACCCGATATGTTGCAAAGGAATCCATGACATCACGATGATTTCGAAGAGCTCCAATAGATATGCTGCCGCTACTTTTTCAACCGGTGTTAAAAACAGCACTCTCGCCTTTCGGTTCTCACACAGCAGAGCAAACCCCATCAATCACGAAATACACTCTAGAGGGATTCAGCAGAGAATAAAGGACTGCATCCACTTTCCATCACCAATCACTCGCGACGCCAGCTCCTCACCGGCCGAATCATCTCGCGACCAACGCCGAAATCAGAACCAAATCAGGGATGTGTTCATGATTTATTATATACATAATGCTCATGTTTAAAGTTTGCCATACAAGTGTATCCGCAGCATTACACTGACCATCAAACGATCACTTTTGTAAGCCGTAAACTCGCTGATTCACGTCGACCGCCGAATCACCACCAAAACTCGCGACGGACACATTATCAGCACTTTGCCCGGCTAATTTGCCAACCGGACCCGTGTTCAAATTCGCACACGGTGACGAGACTCTCGATAGAACTACACGATGAAAGCGTGACATCCGAACACGGTGAACCGGCCTCCCGGGAGGCAATCGCAGGCTCACTTACGCTAGTTACAAAAAACATCCGTGCAAAGAAACGGATCCAATAAACGTCACTCTCGCGAAAGCCCACCCGTCGTCGTCGAACGGCAAAAAAAGGAATCGGTGGGTAATACGGTGATACGGAATTTCCACAATAAACCGGGAATGCACGAATTTCACCACATCCAACTGCGAAACACGCTTTTGGTACACTTTCGTATATATTAGGTAGAGATTTATGGATCAAAATTAATAATATAGTGTCCAAAAGTGAATAATATACGTCTAATTTATGGATCATGACTGTTCGGAATATCGGGATAACCCTGTACCGCCAAACCCAGCGACAACCCTGTGGGAGATTCGGAGAGCTACGGTAACGGTCGGTGTCAGAAATGACAGACGTCACGTTTGCTTCACTATAATAATAATTGAATCCCTAAATCCCTAATCTAGTCAAATCTTTGTTGAAATAGTGACGGAAGATAACTCTAGGTTTGAAAAATCTCCCGCACAGCCTCCTATCGCTTTTCATGAAGGAATTTCTCTTCCTCCAGCGCTTTCTCCTTAGTTGCACTTTTCTCCTGCTGCAACTGGTCTAGGGATTCCTCCAGACTGACCTCATTGGTACTTCCTTTTCCAGATTTGGATCCGGCATCATTCCTCGCACTATTCTTTCTGCTAGGTGGTTTCTTTGGGACAGACTTCTTGGTTCCTTTCGGCACCTTCAGCATATTTGTGCACTTTGAGCACGTCTACGGAACCTCCTTTATAGCTGCTGTCTTACCAGCACAACTATAATGTGTCCAGAACATCGCAGACATCACACTGGACCATATCATCTACGTGGTCATGGCTGTTCTATTCTTCACTCAACGGTGATGTTGATTCCTCTGACATTTTGAGGTTATATCCGATGTTGTTCTTCAAGAATGTTCGGATTAATAAAAGCTAATTCCTCAGAGCAGTCTCGTTTTGGACAGCTTGAAGCTGAAATAGGTTTTATTGTAAGAATTAAGATTGGTTTAGACTTTATATTAGTTTAATAAAACCTATTTCAGCTTCAAGCAGTCCAAAACGAGACTGCTAAAAGGAAATTGGTTTCATTAATCCGAACATGGCTATATTTTTAGGTGTGCAAACTTGATTTTCTATGGATCACTTTCTTTAGTTTAAGGTTCACTGCTGAATGTGTTATGGATCAATTGCAATATGTTTATGGGTAATTCGTACAATTTCAATGCTCATTCTTTAGAAATTTAGTGATACATTTTTACAATTGTGTTGCTAAATTTCACATAAAATATTAATAATATTGATATTTTTTATGGATCATCCACACTTTTTTAGGGATCTTCTCCGATGTTTTATGGATCATTTGGATGTTTTTTATGGAACGGTTTCCAATAATTTATGGATCATTTATTGGTTTTTATATTCAAAAGTATGTTTGCCACTTGAATCTTCTCGGGACATCCCCACGTCCAGTCGCGATGTAAAACTTTTGTCTAGGAAGCTGCTTAAAATCGAGTTTGACGTATGTTTCGTCATCGATCAAAGTGCAGCCCGTGTGTTTCGTCAAAACACGGTTGGGATGTTTACTGGCTTTGTACGACTTTTATCCTTCCCTGGCAAGGATGATCCGCACCGTTTGAAAGTTGGCGTTTTACCTTCTGGTCACATCTCGGATCTAAAGACCGGGGTTGGCTTTAACGCACCTCAACACCTTGCTGCGTAGCTGACGATCCCTGGTTCCAGTTTTTTCGTAGGTCCGCTGATTTCTTTCCACACTCAGGGTTTCCTTCTAGGTTTTGAGCACTCGACAAACTGTTGTTTTCGGCATCTTCAGCACTTAAGCCAACTTGGAACCGGACCACTCCGGATTTTCCAGGTGTTTGTGCGCAATATGTTTTCTTCTTTCGAGTTCCATTTGACGTTATTTCTGAACGCGCACCAGTTGTTCTCCACTGGGACGGGACCCGACAATCGAGCTTCTTACTCTTCTTAATAATGTTGATGTATGCCCATGGAAACTTTTCGCATGATGCTTGACGGACTCGTCCAGTGATGCCAGGATTACAGAATGTTATTTAAATGTTAATTTTTTTGTGTTATGTATTTATGTGTTTCATTTCATGACCAAAAGTATAGTTGTTTGTTTTTGTTCACATGCGTGGACAATCCATACCACAACGGCTATGTGCTACACGATAAAAACCACATACTTAAATATGAGTTTTCCAATACATAACGGACAGAGCGCAGCCCTAATAAACGGGTACCATACACTAACGATATCATAGATAGTACGACCATACCACATAAAGTTGGGATGATATCTGGAATTGGTGGTTAGGCGCTTCTTATGGTTATTGTTTATGCGGGCCATGCTCATAATATGAGTAAACTGCGTGTAAAATCAAATATAAATAAATTTTAACTTTTTATACATTTATTTTACTCATATTTAGATAACTTTTACTAACTGTTGAGGTTTAATCCGGCAAACTCAATTAATTCGCGTAAATGATTCGTAGCGTGTTCTGCCTTGTTTACATTCTGCAGAGTTTTCTTGAGCTGCTCCAGCTACGGATCTTGAAGAAGAAAGATCTGTATGTGTCTGCATCGGAGTCCAGGATCCGGAAGCCCATGCAGGTAAGTGTCCATCAGTTCCAACGTCATTTTGTCGTTTCTGGTGCTGATTCTCATATTGCCCTTTTTCTACGTTTGACGTCGAAAAAAAAAACGAAAATCTGAAATCTTCCTTTTCTTTCGAAACTAAGCGTATGAGCATAAGGATATGATGATCAGCATCAGGAACAGCAAAACGATGATAATATAAAGTGCCAACGGTTCCGCCACTGAAACTTTTGGACACTTGCCGTAATTTCGTCGCATCAAAAACCGAGAATTCGATTTTTCAGTTCCGTTTTTCCTGTGTAGTCGTCCACTAGTTTGTCGATCCATCATGGATATCCTGGAAAAAAATCTCCAATGTCCAGAAGGAAATCGCCAGAACTCAAAGGAATAAAGGTAGGTAACCAAACAGTTTTTGTATTCATTTTGGATGTTTACCGGATGATTTGACTTTCTCCGCAGCCACCGAGTACCATTTGGGATTGCTGAAGGCGAAGTTTGCCAAATACCGGTCGCAACTGCTGGAACCGTCGAAGAAGGGCGAAAAGGATAAAGGGTTCGATGTGCTGAAATCTGGTGATTGCGTTGATCTACTTCAAGATCAAGAAGGGCGGTGGCGTGAGCTTCAATTCAACCTGTCCGATGGCGAGATGCAACGAGAAGATGGTGCAAACGATTTTGAACACGATTAGGATTTTCAACGCGGATGTGCTGTTCCAGGAGGACTGCACCGAGGATGAGTTGATCGACGGAGTTTCGGGCAACCGGTTCTACTTGCCGTGCATCTACGTGTACAAAAAGATTGACAATATTGTAACTATTTATTAAAGGTTTTTTACGTACCTTGTCGGATCAGTTCAAGTACGCGTTGGCTTGGGGAACTTCAGCGAAGTATTCTCCGCAGCGAGTCCGAATTCCGCACATCATTTATAAGGAAACCCTTACACTGAACGATATGAAAGGAAAGCGTCGAGGAAAGCAAAGTTCAAATTAATTTTAATATTTATATTATTTATTCTCGCGTCAATCAACAAACCATGCTTCTGCTATCAAACTTTTTTTTTGCGTGTTTTTCTTGGATGCCTTGTCTTAATGCTAAACGAAACGAATTTCTTTATAATGCTTGTTTTGAAGGCCGGACAATGAAAAAAATCATTTGGTAGAGATTGCAGTTCATGAATTGTACTGGTTTGAAGGTTCATATCAGTTGAATTTGTGTTTTTCATGGCAATTCTATACATAATTTCCATTATTTTAAAAACGTTGAATCCATTTTCCGATACAAAGCAGAAACTTCTGCCTGCAGCTTTTGCACGAAATCTTGTGAAGATTGAATGAACATTTTTAATTTGTTCAGTGTTTAAAAACTGATTTACACAGATCTGGCACGTTGACTTCCGCTTCTGCATTTTTTCAACGATATATCCTGCAATAATATAGTACAGCGCATTCATTTCAGCTCGGTCAAGTATCTTCTCTGATTCTTTCAAAATGCTTGTATAGTCAAGTTCGATACAGTCTTCCTCAGGTGTATCTAAAATCATCGAATTATTAATGTTTTCTGATGCCGATGCATTCGCCTTCCTCTGCGTGCACTCATTCTTCCTTTCTACCATGAGGTCCATCATACCGAGAAGATGTTGCTGATCATCACAATTATACGATGCGTTTGGGATTCCTTTCATGTACTACGATGGACAGATAATTTTCAAATTTCTCGAGAATTGCAAAGGCGTTGGTCTTCGTTGCTTGGATCGAATTAAAGAAAACAAACTTTCAAGACAGTCTTGATCGAAACGAGATGTGAATATGCTTGTGTGTCCGCAGCTAATTAACCTTGTCACTAAACGAACTATCGCGTTAGTACTTAAAGCTAATCCTGATTGCCAAGGTTTCCAATGACCAGCATGTCCTACCTTAATATCAAGGATCAACTTTACAATACGTTGCAAACGAGAAATAGTGAAAGTGTACTGACTCTGATTCGAAGAGCGAAGAGATTTTTCTTCTGTACGGTTTGTGAGGATTTCAAACCACCACGAAATATCCTCGATAAAAGTTGCAGTTGTGGTCAACTCAGAGAGACCAGTTTCAGCTACGACAACACGGATCCCTGCAGCCACGGCCTGATTGCAAAACTTCGTGGAATTGCTCACCTTCATTTTATCAATTGATGATGCTTTTTTGTCGAAACATACATCTTCTGCTGATAGTTTGTGCGCCATCCGTAGGTGGTTTCCATTCTCGTAGTGTACCTATGTTTTCAAATGCTCCCTGTGAACAATACCAGATGATAATCTATTCTCAACAACGTACCACTCGAGAACGACGATAAATTCATTGTTGATCCACCCATTGACCAGATTTTTGAAAACATGGACTGGATCCGGTATTACTTCCAACCTACCTATCCAACTACCTGTTTCCATCTATCGCTTATTCCCACCAACATCAGCACAAGAGCCTTTGATGCAAGCTTGGGTGACTTTGGGAGCGTTGTAGTACCGACAAACTGGTCAGAGTTTGGACAGAATTCTTGTGCTTCGTCTAAACTCATTTCGTCAAGTACGAGTCCACAATCTTTTTGTATGACTGACATTGCAGCAACTTTGTGTTTTAAAAGCTCTACAAAGTCCGTCAATATACCTGTGATTGATGACAATTTTGATACATGTATCATATTAATGTATTTATATTTATGTAAAATATTACCAGCGCCGAATCCTATTCCTTCGATGTGACGAAGAAGAGTTCTCGTTAATGGGAATGGATATCCACGTTTGATGAGTTCATCATACCCTCCTTGGCATGCGAATCGAATTTTCAGGCTGTCGACGACTGTTTCACAAGACCACTTCTGCACTTTACGGACATGTTTGGAGAGAAGTTTCAGCTGATCTTCACGGAAAATACTGTGCTCCACTCTTTTCGCTTGCTGATTCGATTGCTGGGATTTCAGTTTAAAAATTTTTGTCTTCCACCTGTTACAAACCCTATGAAATAAATATGTTACGTTTTTTTACCATTAAGAATAATAAACATACTTCTTAAGCTTCGAGATTTGTTGCCGCTGGTGAAAAATTTGCTGTCTTAAACTGTCTTCGAGCGTCAATTGTCGAATAGGTTCAAACCCACTACATTTCTCAAAATATTTCATTTCCGGACCGAAACGATCATCTGCTACCGCTGGTTTGTGTCGATGTTCGTCTGGGAAATGCTCCTGCAAAATCAATTACGTAAGTAAAAATTTCATATAATTCGTATCTCAACCTACGCCGAGATGCTTTTCACTTTCATTCATTTGGTAGGTACAATTAGGTTTCTCACTGTATTCCATTTCATAATCACAATCTACATTCTCGTTCGGCTCTCGCAATGTTGGAACAGCTGTTGAAGCATCCACATTTTTTTCCCAGTTGGGAAATGAACCTAGAATATCATTACGTGCACATTGAGGATTTTGTAATCTATGTTCCTACTTACGCTGCAAACTCTTGAACTTCCTTTAACTTCAAAAAACTCAACATCGTCTTCATTTTTTACGCAAAACCGAATCCAAGCTAAACGAATTGTTTTATCTTTCGGAAACCGGAAAATTTTTAAAGTTGGATTTGACATTGAGTTTCTACCACAGTGTAGCGCCTTGCACTTCATCTTCAATCAGAGCACAATAAACACAATTTACAGTATCGATCACTTCAAAGCACGCAGTTCATTCCACTTCCGTTTCGCAAATAAAATCTTCAAATATCATCAATATCATTCAAGTCAATGTTGATTTCGGCATCACTGCCAGCCAGATTGCTGCGTTCCCTCTGTCTTCATTTTTCTACGATTGCTGCTGTCAAATCGTCCAATCAGCAACTGGCTCGGATTTGACAGAAAATTGGCTCGAAATCGCTACCCTATTGTCGGGTCCCGTCTCAGGTTCTCCATAAACTTCTCTGACGTTCGTGAAATGCACAAGTATTAGTGCAGAACTCGGGGTAAATTATAAGTATTAGTGCAAGAAAACCTTTGAATTTACCCAAAGTTCTGCACTAATACTTGTGCAATTCACAAACGTCAGAGAAGTCTATAGAAGTGTAAACAAATCACTGTCAAAGACTTTCGATTCCCAACACTAGAAGCGTGCTAGCGGTGCGCGAGAGGCGTATCAATTTACTTTTAGTCAGACTTCATTTGAAATGTTCGGGGCCGTCATCTAATCTAGTGAATTTATTTAATGAAATTTTATTACCGTAAACCAGGGTCAAATTGATTTTCAGTAATATGTGAATATATTCTTCGCTCGTGGTTTATTTTCAATTAATTTTTTTTTAAACGAGTACAAGTGTAAACCAGTACAAAACCTAGTAGATTGATTTGGTAAATTATTTACTTATGTTTTAGTTTGAATAATTATTGTTCGAAAATTTGAAAGTACTAGGGTGAACTTGCAGCTATTTTACCATCCCTTTGACTTACAGTATGTCTGCCCATAAATCCGGAGTGATTTGAGATTTGGTCGTAATTGCATTTGTAAACAAACACGTCAATCACCGATTTCTTACGAATAAAAGCTCAGTCTCGAAAAGTAATAACACTATGAGGTAGAGGAATGGTTCCTCTACCATTTGGTATAGTTTGTTTGTGAGATTGAGCGTTTATTCAAGAGAAATCAGTAATTGACGTGTGTGTTTACAAAAGCAAGTACGTCCAAATCTCAAATCACTCCGGAAATGTCATTCATATGTTTGAAAATATGTTTATTATCAACCATAAATGTTGAAACAAAAAAAAGCTCAGATTAATCTAGAATTATCAATGATTTTAAAACAAACTTATTGAGAAATATTCGTAAAAACGTGCCTTAATAATAATTGTAATATTGCTGATTGCATCTGAAACTGAACTGTCCCAAAAATGCAAAAAGTGTGATAAAAGTGCACGTTTCCGTCAAATCGTTTTAATGTCTTCGGAGCACTTATTTCATAAGAAATAAGTGCACCATAGACACCAAGACGATTAGACGTAAACTTGCAATTTTATCACACTTTTTAATAAGTGAAAACGCGCTTATTAGTCCAATTTGGTGTGAAATGTGCAATAATAAATTGCATAGGCTATTTACTCTGATTTGACCATGGGAATCTTCTTGGAGTCAAACTGCTCCATGGCCAGTTGGGCTAGCATCCGCAATGAGTTTAGTACGATTGCTGGGGTTGAAGAATCCTAGGTAATCAATGTTACAGATAACGGCTTTGATTGCTTGAAAATCTTTGCGTTCCGGATCTGTCCATTCAAATTGAGCACCAGAACGGAGCAGCTGTCTCAAAGAATCAGTTTCAGTAGCAGGTCAGAAATAAATCGGCCAACGTAGCACACCAGTCCGAGAAAACTTCTCAACTCGGTCACGTTTTGTTTATACGCTTAATCAGCAAAAAAGTTCAGCGGACCTAGATTTGAGCCAGATGTGAACATATAAGTTCGTTATGTAAAATCCGAATTTTAGGTTGCATGGGTTGTGTATACTTTCTTATAGGTGTTGGTATGCGTCGGTGAGTTCTGTTCACACACTTAGACTTTTTGCCAAGATGGGCACCACCGAGTAGCTCGGCATTTTATTCTGCTGGATCTCAGTGACAAATTTGCCAAGATTCAGCAAACAAACATAAATTTTAGCGGCGCCGGTGGTGTAGTGGTAAGCGTGATTACCTCTCACCACAAAAGGCCTGGGTTCAATCCCAGTCGGCGCCACCGGGATGTTCTAAGGTATAACATCTCTGATCACGCCTTCCTTAGGAAGGGAAGTAAAGCCGTTGGTTCACGGTTCATGAGTTGATGGATAGGGTCCAGGTGTGGGAGCTGCTGCCTCCCTGGTGTCGGTAGCATTGGTGCTCAGCACGGAAAATAAGGCAAGGAAAAAAATATAAAATTTTACTGAATCCTCTGTCATTTTCTATCTCCCACTAGGATTCTCTAACATCTCGAACTACCCGTGAAATATATATATTTCGTTTCTCTGTTAAGATTTCTTTTTTTTTTCATCCACCAGTTTAAATGTTCATTATCTTGAGTTTCAAAGAAACCTGCGATAACTGAGGGTTCTACTACTAAACGCTGAATTGACCTTCGAACAAACTCTATCCATTATTTGACAAACATACAATCACCAACGCTGAAATTTATATTAATTAAACATTCGATTTTGCTTCGATTACCAAGAATGATCACTCAATTAAGTTAAACGAAACTATTCGGGCCATAGCCACAAACATCCCATTTTCCAAGGATGCATTAATTACGCTATCTAGATTCATATTTACACGTCATTGTACTAATTTACTCATATTAACAAAATTAGATTTGCACGCGCGTCTAGATTAATTAGGTGCGAAATTGAATAAACCAAGCCGCCCACAACACCTCTTCTATATACATAATAAGCGCACCGCAAAAGTCTGCATTACGCTCGAACACTAGTAACGTAATTTACGCTACCCATCTCCAATATGTGGGCTTTTTGATATCATCCGATTGGCTGTGAAAAAGATGATTACAGAGGGCACTCTTTCAAACGAAATGCAATTTCATCCCCCCCCCCCTCGTGAAATCGACTGTGTCCTATCAGATGAACAGATGTCAACTGAATATGTGTTTCATTTGTGATATTAATTCCAAAATGTAATTGACAAAATTGATTGGATTCCATTTGGCGGCACGTTATGTAAAGATAATGAAGATTGCCTCTGCACTATGCAGGTGTTGATTGCTGTTCGTGAACAGTTGACTTGTCCAGTGAGGTTTCTTCAATGGCTAATTCGAAAGGCACATCCTGTCAGCTTAACAATGAACAATGTTGTTAAACGGAAAACCTACTCCGATCAGCCCCACAGGACACGAATTGATCGCTAATAAACTTGTATCAATCCTAACTGAATATCACACGTAATAAGAACATAAATGTTTCACATATTCCCTTGATCGATTGTCACCTGAGAAGCTTTCCTCGCGAATGAGTTATCTCACCCCAGCAAATATGAACAATCTTAATTTCAAATCACATAACTCAACGCACTGCTCTCATTATGGCATTCTTCGAACTAGCAATTCGTCGACAACTAGTTTTTCCTCGAATCCCCTGCAGCCTCCGAGATAACCAATCTTACTTTGTCGCATGCCAACTTCAATCCGAAAGAAACGATTATCACACATGGCCTGCTGCGGCGATCATCGACTTATGACAGAAGTTCTATCGCTACCTACTCGCAACGACTTAAATTGTCCACTATGGGCTGTTTCGGTACCAGCCTAGTGTCAACTCGAATTTTTTTGTTACAGTTGAATCAGAGTTATGAAACCATGCGGCATGATGCTGTGCGTAACAGCGAACCTACTGGAAAAGCCCTTTCGGGTTGCTCAAACCAGAGGTGCCAGCCCTGTGGTGTTATCGTAGAAAATCAAGCTGCGCTTTAGGATTTCCAGTTCAGAAGAAATTTTCATGCATCATCTACGATCCGGCACACGATGTGTCAAGTTTTCCGCTTTTCCACGCTTGCTGCGGCGATGGCGACTGCACGAGCTTGGAAAAAGTAACAACTTATGGGCATCCCAGCAGACGGGGCCCGGTTCGCGCATAGGACGAATTTGGTCCTACTATTACATGATGCATCTCTCGAATCGGTTCACCGATGGACTTGGCCACAGCTGTGGTGCTCCAGTAATCTCATTTCGCAGTATATATAGTTGGAGTAGTTTTATCAAATTATCAGTCAGAACTGCTTGAGGGCTTCGACTGGTGCGGTGTGCATTCAAGTTTTCCATTAGTCATGAAGATGCAAATTGTAAGTGAAAAGTGAAAGCGTTCTTGAGAATCAAGATTCTAACATCTTCCCGTTTGTTCTGTTTTAAGTTCCTTAGCGTGTGCCTGGCAGCGTTGCTGGTATCCACGGCTGCCGATCCTGCTGCAGATCCGAAAAAGCCACAGAAACGAGCCGTACTCGGAGGCTACGGTCTTGGTGGTTCTGGCCTCAGTGGTTACGGTCTTGGAGGTTATGGCCTCGGTGGATACGGTCTTGGAGGGTATGGCCTCGGTGGTTATGGTCTCGGTGGACTGGGAGGATCGGTGGGTCCAGCAATTGCGGGCCCTTCGTTAGGAGGTTCAGTAATTGCAGGTCCATCTTTCGCGGGTGCAGCTGTTGGCCCCGCATACGCACCATCGTTTGCAGCTCCAGCCGTCAATCTAGCTCCGACAATCACCAGAAATATCCACACCCATTCGACGATTTCTCAGCCCGTTCCGGTTGCAGTTCCAACACCGGTAGCCGTTCCAGTTACTCGACACGTTGCCGTGCCAGTTCAGGTGCCAGTTCCCGTTCCAGTCGATAGGCCCGTGCCGCATCCAGTTGCAGTGCCGGTTCATGTGCCGAGACCCTATCCAGTTCACGTACCAGTGGATCGACCAGTGGCCGTTCCGGTACCACAGCCGTATCCAGTTACTGTTACCAGGTGAGTGAGAAATATTGGGAATATTCACGGAACGACTGATGGGGACTTGTCCCGTAAGCATCACGAATTGCTCCACTGCTAGTCCCACAAGTCCTCGGGACTTGTCCCACAAGTCCTCGGGACTTGTCCCACAAGTCCTCGGGTTTTTTCCCACAAGTCCTCAGGATTTATCCCACAAGTCCTCGGGACATGTCCCACAAGTCCTCGGGACTTGTCCCGCAAGTCCTCGGGACTTGTCCCGCAAGTCCTCAGGATTTATCCCACAAGTCCTCGGGAATTAAGTTGAGTAAACTTCTTTACAAGAAAATCTAGTTATATAAAGGTTATACAAATTGTTATAGAACTTGCATGTTGCTTGGGTTGATACAAAAGTCTTGTGGACATACCCCACAAATTCGTGTGGACTTAGCGTTAGCGTTAGCGTTAGCGTTAGCGTTAGCGTTAGCGTTAGCGTTAGCGTTGTTAATACCCCACAAATTCGTGTGGACTTGCCCAGAAACTACTTGTGAACTTATGCCTCAAGCTTCTGTGAAAATTTTCCATAACTTCTTGTAGACTTGTCCCACAAGACACTGTGAACTCGCTCGGCATCTTCTCGTAGAATTGTGTCACTAGTTCTTCTGGACATGCCCCACAAGTCCCGGCGGACTTGTCCCACAATTTCTTATGAACCTATTTGATTGTTTCATCCAGGCCAAAAAAGCGAAAATATGAACAAGCTTCAGATTTTACCTCTCAGAATTCCATTAAACTTTGCACAATTTTTCGCTAGAGGCTATTAGCCAAGTTTGTACTGAAATTTGGCCATTTTGGCTCACGCCTAGTTCTTCAAAATGGCTTATTTTATATTTTTCAATAAATTATAGCATGAAAACGCGTCATCTCATCGAAATAACATCTGAGACAAAGTTTTAGGAAACTGGATTAACTTTTCTGTAAAAATATACACTGAAAAAATATCTTAAATTTTTGTCAAAAAATGAAATATATCCTTTTTTACAGGTTCTTCAATAAGGACAAAGATAATTTTTAAGATTTTCAAACTTATGTTTATTTGAAAGTTTATCAAAACGGCAAAGTTTTCTGAAATGGAGATAACGGACACTTTAAAATTGACAAATATCGTAGAACATATAGTTATAGAAAATGTTTTGAACTTGAAAAATTATTGGTTGAGAAAAAGCTAAAAATGTGTATGTACTAATAGTTGATGTTCTTCGATTTTGGTTAATTTTGAAGTGTCCTTTGTGTCCAGTTTTTAGAAAAGTTAGAACTTTTGATACGCTTTCAGTGCGTATTTTTTTTTTTAAATTTAAAGGCCATCTACAACTTTGTCTTGGACGTAATTTCGATTAGATCAGCCGTTTTCGTGCTATGATCTATTGAAAAATATTAAACACGGCATTTTGGAAAATTAGGCGAGAGCATGGCCAGAATGACTGAATTCCATCACAAACTTTAATAATTTCCCCTAGTGAACAATTATGCAAAGGTTCATGGAATTCGGAGAGGAAAAAATAAAATCGATTCGTCGCTTGGCGTGGAATTGCTCCGATACAATGTTAGAACATAAATTTATCCATATGTCTATAGAAATGAAACCACGAAAATATATTTCACATTCTATTTTAGTCTCTAAGGCCAAAAACTGCAGAACTAGTGCCATAACTGGCACACTTACCCGATGTAGACTTCATGACCGATTGTGTCTAATAAACTACACTGAATGAAAACATCCGCAATTCTTCGAATGATTATTGGATTGTTCGAAGACTCAAACAGTATGTATTCCAGATTCGGATGATTGTCTTATGGTTGAATTCGGCATCAGCTGATGATGACTGACATCCAATTAAAGGACGATGTTTATTTGGAAAAATGGCTGCACCACAAACAGCGCTCAGAGGAAAACAATTTACGAATTATATGACATGCAAGAGCTAGAGATTTGATTTATAATTCGATTGTGTGTTCTTTCCGTTACCTTCGTTTTCCACGCTTTACTCATTCTCGTGCCAGCTTTGATAGCGATGGCTATGTTGTCACCTCGTGTGCTAGCTCAGTTCATCGAGTGATGTACGATTGAATTATGTACATGTTTTGCATGATTTGCACGTTTTGCATGATTTGCATTAAGGCGAAAAAGACCAAGTGAGTTAATGAAATTATCAAAAATGGTTATCTCAGAAACATCATTTCAGATTGGAAAAATCTTTTGTCGTTTTGTGCGATCTGAAGTGATGTCTCCGAGATAACCATTTTTGTAATTTTCATGTACTCACTAGGTCACTTTCATCTTAACGGGCTGAACTAAAACCATATGCATTTCTATTTGGGATGATAATCATTCTACAGAGAGCATTACGTATTGTTCAAGTGATGGTGCTTTCGCTTCTTGTATCAATTTTCAACCTGATTGCAAAACAAGCGTCATCTCTTTTTCAACAGAAATTGAAATGATGTTTCAATATGAATGGTCGGATGATTCATACGAACAGAGGATGATGTTTTGCTAAAGTTTACCGATTTTTCTATTTATTGGATCCATTAGGGTTGCTCCCGTACTTGCTGTTTTGCTTATGCTGTAAGTGGCTGTAAAGTGGACCCTACACGATTGCTTTTATTGACATTAATCGTATTGTCAATATATTCTATATTGAAGTCAATACATCGAGATTGACAATATATCTGAATTCACATCATCAATATTATTGTCAATAATTCCCCTTCGCGTCAATATATTGATGCGTGTGGGGTTTGCTTAAGAAAATAATACAGGAATCCTCGATTTGCGCGATGGGTGGTGCCGTCTACCCAGCGCTATTTCTCAACAGTCTTTCAACCAACTGAGCTGACAATTTGTGAGTGTCAAGTTTGCGGTTGGCCCAGCTCAATTGCTTGAAAGCTTGCTGAGAAATGGCGGTGGGTAGACGGCATCTCCCATCGCGCAAATCGAGGATTCCTGTATTATTTTCTTACAGCAACTTACAGCAAAAGCAAAAACACAACTACGGGAACAAACCTATTGATAATGAAGAAAACATTCAAGCCATTCTAATATGAGTGTTGTTTGATACAGGGCCCAACAAAGTCACTTTCAATCGAAAATCGTCAAGCGACGACGAAGCTGGCAACCATCACTTTCAATTGAAAGTCATTCTGTCTTCTCTTCGAGCAGATCCCCTTCAACATCAACAGAACGTGTTCATATTTTGTCTTTCATTGTGAAATGAACTTACGTTCCGTTACGTTACGTCAAATTTATCATTGACGGGCGATTTTTTTACCCATCAATATGGGTATTTTTGGAATTGGGGTGACGTCTAAAGATCGAAAATCGATATGTCACGACATTTTCAAATCCAAGAAGGAGGCTTCCAGTTTAAAGAAAGTGGGAAATACTGTAAAATACTCATCAATACGAGGGGGGCGACACATCTAAATCTCAAGTTTAGATGGTCAACAAATCTAACACTAGTGAATCAATCTTCGAACAATCTTCTTTCATTTGTCGCATCTACTTACATCGCTCATCAATTTTTTGCAGGAAATCTTCAGAATCGTCATCAATCTTCTTTCTATCTACTCAGCGTGCGCGCAGCTAGCCACAGTAAAACACAATCTTTTTTGCATCGTAGATAGAGTCGTCCCCCTCGCATCAATATGGGTATTTTTTTTAATCGGTATGACGTCTAGAGGCTGAAAATTGATATCCGACGCCATTTTGAAATCCAAGATGGTAGCTTTCGATTGCAGAAAAAGTGGGAAATACTGGCAAATACTCATCAATATGCCTATTTTTTAATCGAGGTGACGTCTAAAGGTATTGGGCGACATTGTAAAATCCAAAATGGCGGTTTCCGATTTCCGAAAAAGTAGAAAATACTGATGCCGACCCATCAATATGGGTATTTTTGGAATCGAGGTCACGTCTAAAGAGCGAAAATTGATATGCGACGCTATTTTGAAATCCAATATGGCGGCTTCCAGTTTTAAAAAAAGTGGGATATAGTGTCAAATATCCATCAATATAGGTATTTTTGGAATCAGGATGCCGTATAGAGAATGGAAATAGATAACCAACGCCATTTTGAAATCCAAGATAACGGCTTCCGTTTTCAGAAAAAAGTGGGAAATACTGATGCCGACCCATCAATATGAGCAGTTTTGGAATCCGAGTGACGTCTAGACATTGGAAATCGACATTCAACGCCGTTTTGAAATCCAAAATGGTGGCTTCCGATTTCAGAAAAAGTAGGAAATATTGTAAAATACCCATCAATATTGACACTTTTTCTGAAACCCGATGGTCACCATCTGGACTCCAAAATGGCGTCGAATATTGATTTTCAGCATCTACGTGTCGACTACGTGACACTTTTTCTGAAGCCTGATGGCTACCATATTGTATCCTAAAATGGCATCGGATATCGATTTTCGGTATCTACGCGTCGTTCACGTTTCAAAAATACCCATTTGAGACATTTCCTTTGCATGATGGCCACCATCTTGGACTTCGTCAAGTCTTTGCTTCAAATGAAATGAACTGATGCACTTGACGAACGAAACAAGCGACAGCCAAGTAATGTTTGACAGGAAGAATGTTCATCGTGACTCGATAACAAGATAAACAAACAATGACTTACACACGGCGAATGAGAACGACCCAAATTTAGTTTACTTCACTCATAATCGCCAAAAGTGCAGGAGCGATGAGTAAATTTGCCTTATGATTTCCATCGAGCTATGACGAGTTGACGGTAATTAATAAGTCATAACCGACAGCAACAAATAAACTACAAACCATCGATTGTTTGACAAAATATAAGATTGAAAATGACAATCAACATCAGAACACCATTGCAACCAAACGTGCATCGCTTGACGCAGAAAACTAACTCCATATTTCCACCCACTTTCAGACACGTCCCGGTGTCGGTGCCGCAACCCATTCCAGTTCCTCAGCCGTACCCAGTACCTTCCCCGGTACCGGTACCACAACCGTATCCCGTTCCAGTGCAGGCCCCTGCACCAGCCATCGCCATTGCTCCATCCTATGCATCAGCTCCGATTCTGCCATCCTACGGACCCTCGTTTGCCGCCGCTCCCTCGTTTGCCACCGGACCCTCATTTGCTGCCGGTCCCTCGTTTGCCGCCGGTCCCTCGTTTGCCGCCGGTCCCTCCTTGGGTCCCATCGTTGGCGGTGGTGGTCTCATCGGCGGAGGCATCATCTCCGGTGGCGTGCTGAGTGGGGGTCCAATCATCAGCAGCGGTCACCACCACTATGGCCATTCTCACTACGGACACCTGGGTGGACTGAAGAAGATCTTCGGATAGAGGATGGCAAGAGAGCACGGCTCGTGGGGGGAATTCCTCCGAGAGCAACAGCTATATTACAAAATAGTCACTTAATTGTAGGGTTTGCTGTTTTACGTAAGACGGAAAAAAGCAGGAAAGTTGAAATAGCGATTGAGTTAAGCAAAACTAGGTTTTAAGCGTTCTGCCATCTCTGTTTTGGAGAGGTTTTTGCCGTATACACCAATTACCAATTTTAGAAGATTTCTGTTTTATTTTACGCGAGTGCCCGAGAACGAATCAACGACGAAGAAGGAATGCAAAAAAAAAGCCAGGCAAGCTAGATGTACTTTAGGTAGGCTATAATCAATACACACATTGAAAGCATAAAGTGTCACCACGAGTGGCGGAGATTGAAAATGGAAACGGGCAAATGTTTTCTAGTTGTTTGCTTATCTCACTGTCCCACTCTTCTGAACGTGTACAAATCAACCTCCTTTCTTTGGTCAATCGAAATTGTGCAACTTCCCGGCGCGCGACGGCAACAACAACAACAACAACGGATAGAACGTGCAACGCAACTTGAGTGAAACGATTGCAAGTGATAGGTAAGTAGGTAGGTACGTAGATAGTTCAGTACTCAAGTTGAGGTCGATGCAACGACGAAGCAGTAGGTAGAAAAGGGTGGTAATTGAACATTGTCCAATGCGTAAGATTTAATTTGGTTTGCAATCACTAAACGGTTAATCAGTTGGTTGATCTTGATTGAACCTGGTTGGGTGAAACCGATAACTTGCAATTGGATTTTCTCAGCATGATATCGTTTAATTGTTTAGTCAACAGTTTGGTATGAAAGCTATACTTACGGAATATGTAATGAATCACAGCGTATATAGATTTAGTGTAGAAGGGTAAATGACGGCTTCGACACCCATTTAAACGTTAATTTCACTGTATTTTCTCATTAAATCACTAAATGTATTCGAACGATTTCTTAGTCTTTCAGCTTTAATCTGATTACATGTTCACGACTGAGCAAACACATTTTGCCAGATATATCTTGAAATGAAACATACGCACTACAAAATGCAGTTGATTTCGAGTTGCCGATAGTAGGCTGCCGAAAGAAGAGGTTTCCGACAATAGTTATACTTCCAACCCATGCGAACCCGAGCTTATTGTCAGTGCGAAACTCAACCCGGACCAGGTTACAAAAAACCAGATCCAATGTTAGAATTAGCTATTAAAAAACGTTTTCAAACAGTGTTGAACAATTCTGTTGTTTGAAATGGATAGAGTAGCAAGCAGCAAATAAACATATGCATACAAACACGTCACATGTGTGCGTGACGCTGAGAATAAGCTAAAGCTGGGTTTAGACAGGGCAAGTCAGTTGAATTCAACTGCCTTGAACGCGAATTGAACGTGTAAACCATGCCATTCAACTAACTTGATCAACTCACTTGAATTGAAAAAAGTTGAACCAGGCTCAACTTTTCAAGCCAATTGAATTCAACTGAGTTGATCATCTGACTTGCCGAGTCTAAACCCAGCTTAATAGAGATCTCCAAGCCTTATCTCACGAAGACTAAAATCCAACATCCATATATAAAAATGAAAACGAAGAAGAAGAAGAATAAGAAGAAGAAGAAGAAGAAGAAGAAGAAGAAGACGAGGAAGAATAAGAAGAAGAAGAAGAAGAAGAAGAAGAAGAAGAAGAAGAAGAAGAAGAAGAAGAAGAAGAAGAAGAACCAAAAAGGTATCGCGATATCACAACTACTTAAAAAGGAAGCGCGCGGTTTCACGCACACATTTTCGCATCTGGAGAACTCTATATGTAGAAGCATGGATGCTCCTTAGATTGACTAGAATACGAAAATTAATCATTTTGTCAAGCTTCTGCATTCATGTTCCATCAGATGTCACTGCTGTTGTTTGTGGTGACATCTATCGGTAACAACACACAATCTGTTTTCCGTTAATTGTTCACAGAGAACACTGCAGTGCAAAACATGTCTGGTGCCTTTATATATGTATTTAGATTAATATTCGAAGTCCCTCCCTTTTTAAACATTCGGCACACAAAATAGCTCACCTCTCACAGAATTTCCCGTCAATTTTTATTAATGGGGTGGGGCAGAAAGGATCTTTTGTGCAGAATATGTAAAAAAGGAGGGACTTCGAATGTTAATCTAAATGCATATATAGAGGTAAACACCGATCATAAGTTGGAGGTAACCACAAAAAAAAATGCAAATGTGGTATGTTCATATCTCTGTCACTTTACTTTCAATTTTCGATCTTCTTAGATCTTTTTAAAGGTATTAAATAGGACGTTCTTCATAGGTTAATTACTCAATTTATGTTTTTAGTATACAAAGATGCAACATTTTTCAAAATTTATAGAATAGGCATAGTCAAAAATTAAAAGGAAAGGGACGAGCTGAAGATTGATCTCCTGACCTTCTGCTCAGTAAGCAGAAACGATAACCACTAATCTACCGACGGCCCGTAACGTGAAACGTTACGGGATGTAAGATCTAACACCGATTCCTAGTCTTGACTACTTCAAACTAGGGGAACAGGATTTTCCAGTTATCCCAGGAACACATCTTAGCCCTTGTTACTTTTTATGCCTTGTTGATTGTAACGTGCCAGTGCGGTGTTACCAACAATCAATATGAAACTAACGATTTTAAATTGGCTCACCACTTTAGTAGCCTATTGGTCCCAAGCAAACAATTAACGTACCCTATTCTAGTTGAAATTCTATTACTACACTATGTTTGTTTTGATTCGCTATGAAAGTTTGACAGATAACATCAGGGGTGTGTGGATTCATGCAGAACATGCAGGGGTGAGTGAAATAGCTTGGGACTGCTTGGGACCGTTGTTCTGGTACTGAGTGAGCCAAAAATAATAATGATTTTCTTCGGGACCCAGTGGTCTTAGAGTTACCTCTATGGTGTTACTCCCAGCACTGATAAGACTCCCGCCTTCAATCCTCAGGGTTGGAAAACACTCGTAACAATTCCGCGAACCAAGAAAACACTTACATTCGCATTGCATCCTTCCCACTTCACGGACGGTCTCGAACCTGACGTCTGCCATTTCCTTACTGTTCTACTCCTGCCTTGCGCTAGTACTGTTTGCTTCGTTGTCTTTAGAACCCCTTCACCTGCCACTACCTTCGCCGACGCTTCACTTCTTCCGCTGGTCCTGCTTCTCCTCGTTGGCTTCCTTCTTCTCCCTTCGCTTGTTTCGGCTGTGTGTCGTCCGTGCGTCCCTCGAGTATGGTGACGGACTCGAATCTTCAACAGTCCCGTGGAACAGTTGGACCATAGAGGCAACTCTAAGACTAGTAGGTCCCGAAGAAACGTGCTCAACTTTTTGGCTCAGCTCTGGTACTATCTTCGGTCCTCAGCTAATCGATTCACCCCTCGAAACATAGGAAAATCCACTTATCCCCCATTTTATCTGTCAAACTTTCATAGCGAATCAAAACAAACATAGTGTTGTACTAGAATGTCGACTACAATGGGATACGTTAATCGATTTGCTTGGGACCAATAGGTCAAGTAGTGAGCCAATTTAAAATCGTTAGTTTCCACCGGTTGGTTGGACTGCCTGGTTTCATGGTGAACACGGTTAACTCGGGGAACAGGTTTACGATCGTCGATTCAACACTACCGGCGTTTGGCGTGGTTGATTATACAAACGATTAACGGCCTACCGTAAACTTTACGGTGAAATCGCGAGGTCCTGGATGTAACAGTACGTGGCAACTTCCTCTACTCTGTTTCACTCCACTCCATAATTTACTCTCACTTGACTCTGTTTATCGTCTACTTCCACTTGATTATTATGTATAGGTTTCTTGCGACTATCGTCTGCAAAGATCACCAGGCTAATGATTGAGCCTCTTGGTGGACGATGACCCCGAACCGTGGTCATTGAACCGTCGTACGTGTCACCAATTCTCCACGCAATGGCCCCCATTACGCCACCCCTATGCCCGTCCATTCATGACTGCATACAGCGTCCGCTGGCGGTGGCTAGTGGCATTGTCCTACATTTTATATGGAAGTGTCTCCTAAGGCCTGTACTCGAAAAAAATGCACCAGACAAAAGTGTTCGCCAAAAATTTATTTTAAGTCGGATTTTCTTTAAACTTTCTGGGAATAAACTAATACATATGGATTATGTTTCGCCATAATTACTTTATTCAATTTCCTTTCCATCGCTGAAAGCCCGCACCTTTCCCTTAAGACCCCTCATTACATTTTGTGCAATGGTGGAGCCGACCTTTTTGGTCACTTTCATCCATTCTTTTTTCAACTCCAGCTCGTTCTTAAACACCTTGGACGATTTTCGAACTTTGGCCTTCATTATGGCCCAAAATCTTTCCACCGGACGAATCTCTGGTGAATTTGAGGGGTTGGCGGTTTTTGGTACAAAAACAACGTTATTTTCTCTGTACCAATCCAACATCGATCGCGCGTAATGGCATGATGCCAGGTCCGGCCAAAATAATGCCTCGCCTCCGTGGGACCGCAGGAAGGGCAACAGACGTTTCTGAAGGCACTCGGTGCGGTAAATTTCGCTGTTGATGGTACCCATTGTGATGTACGGTTTACTCAGTTTACCGCATTGGCATATGGCCTGCCAGAGCAAGTATTTTTTGGCGAAATTGTCCACTTTCTTCTTCCTTATGTCTTCCGGAACATTAAACCGTGATTTGGCAACGTAGAACTCCAGCCCCGGTATCTGCTTTGCGTCTGCCTCTGATGTAGGTTTCGTCATCCATAGCCACACACATCGGTTTCGTTAACCACTCTCGATACAGCTTCCTTACGCGGGATTTGGCCGCCGTGTTTTGTTGATCACGCCGGTTCGGTGCCTTCCGGACCTTGAATACACGAAGCCCAGCTCGTTTCATGGTTTGCTGAACGAACCAGGCGGAACACTTTGCCTTGAGAGCCGCGCCGCGAATCGAAAGGTTCGGATTACGCTTGAAATAATCCAACACCTTCCGGGCCTTC